CAACCTTATGACAGTGTAGCTTTCCCAAATTGTTGTAACATTAACATAATACCAGTAATAATAACTATAGAACCTCTGTTTTGCAGATTCTATCTGTCCTCCATGATCTCATGTAGTTCCAGTAAAGGATTCCCACACTCTGAAAATAATTTCCCCAAATGTTCCAAAAATATCTAAAATCATTTCAATAAGGGCAAAGCCATTTGTTCTTCAAGTAATAAGGTTTGTAATACAAATGCTCTGGAATATCTCAAGTAATGCATTAAAAGTAACATTCTGTGTTATGACTAATGGTGATCAGACCTTTTCTGAAAATGATTCTAGATTCCTGTACCAGAGCAGCCCAGATCTGACATATCTCTCAGATCAATTTCCAACTGATTCATGTTAGATAATCTGGACATGATCTGAGAAGCCAAAAATATGAATGACGAGAGAAGTAAGCTGCCAGCCATGCCCCTTCTAGACTTCTCCCTGGAGAAACACTTGGGCTATCAGCAATCTCCTTCTTCTAGGCTTTATAGTCAGAGGGTAAGAGGCAAACAAAAGTCTGAGAAATTATCTGAATTAACTTCTGTTAGCACACTCAAAATGTCCAAATTTCCATCAAATAAAAGTATGGCCTCCATCTTTCATCAATTTACACGAAATCAAACTTTCAGAAGATGTCTATGAGAAACACAAAAAAATAGATTTAGTTGAATTTTGGAGCACCACCCATATTGAACCAATGGAATATAGATGCCAAACACATAAATTGACACTAAGAAAACTGTAAAGGCATTGACATCAAATGTAATTTGCTATACAAAAAATGTCGTTTTTCATCTTCTTTTCTAAGAATATTCTAGAAATGTGGTCTACCCTTAGAAAACATTGTATCTCAGACATCTCATGTAGTGTGTTAGTCAACTTTTCATTACTGTGACAAAATACTTAAGAACAACTTAAAGAAGAGGAGAGATTTATTTTGACCTCATAGTTTCAGAAGTTTCCAGTCCATGGTTGGCCAGAGTCATTGCTCTAGGCCTGTGGTGAGGCAGAAATATCATGGCAGAAGGGCAAGACAGAAGAAAACTGCTCACCGCATGGCTGCCAGGAAACAGAAAGAGAGGGAAAATCTAGAAAGAAAGGGGCCAGGGACCAGATATAGTCCCTAAAGTCATGCCCTCATGATCTACTCCCTTCAATGATGCCCCATCTCATGTTTTTAATCCATTAATGAAGTTAGAGACCTAACCATCTGATCACTTTTGAGAGGCCCATCAGTAACCAACCTGTTAACAGGAGGTTTTTTGGGGGGGGGGCATATTATCCAAGCCATAATACATACTCTCAGTATTAAGATTGTTTATAATGCAATGGCAGTACTAGTTAATAGTTGGAATCTAAATTGTGCTTACTTAGGAAATTAATATGGACAACTCTGTTGCTTTCCTGACTTTTTTTTGGTTTGTTTAGTTTACTTACTTTTTTATTATAATAATTAGTACAGGGCCAGGGATTTAGCTCAGCGGTTCCGGCGCCTGCCTGGAAGGGGAAAGTTCTCGAGTTCGATCCCTGGTACCAAAAAAAATAAAATAATAATAATAACTAGTACATATTAATTGTGCACATAATAGGTTACATTATGTCATTTCCATGCATGTATACAATATGCTTTGATCATATCCACCCTCCCTATTACCTGCTTCCCTTTCTCCTTCTTCTTGGTCCCTTTTCCCTTCCCTTTCTCTAATAGTGGTTTCATTTCTTTAAACTGGCTCAGGAAATCCAAACTCCACTGTATTAGAGGACAGAAAAGTTGGTAGAGCATACTTAGGGCTGCCAGATAAAATAAAAAAGGACTAGTTAAATTTGATCTTTTGGACATGGTGATTATTATTTTTAAAATATTTTACTGGCAAATAAAAATGCATATATTCAAGGTGTACAATGTGATAATTTAATATATGTATATATTCTGTAATTATCACAATACAATTAATTAAGACATTCACCATCCCTATAGTCAACATAGTGTGTGTGTGCATGTGTGTGTGTGTGTGTGTGTGTGTGTACACTGAGGACAAAAAAATCCTCTCATCAAATTTCAAGTATATAATACATTACTACTAATTATAGTCACCATGCTATATATTAGGTCCCCAGAACTTATTCATCTTGTAAGTGAAAGTTTGTGCCACCTGACCAATAGCTGGCCATTGCTTCCACTTCTCTGACCTCTGGAAACCACTGTTTTCCTCTCAGCAACTATGAGTCAGAGTTTCTTAGATTATACACACAAGTAAGATCATATAGTATTTGTCTTTCTGTGTCGACATATTTTTCTTTGTACAAGGTCCTCCAGTTTCAAACACATTGTCACAGATGGCAGGATTTCCTTCTTTTTAAGAGATGAATAATATTCCACTATAGGGGTAAAACCTCATTCTCTCCATCTATTCATCTCCTGAGAGACACTTGAGTTGCTCCCATCCCTAGGCTGTTGTGAATAACACTGCTATGAATATGAGTGTACAAATATCTCTTTCATCTTCAATTTCTTTGGATATATACCTACAGACCCAGCTGGTGGTTTCATAGCAGCTGCATCATTTTCATTCACACCAATAGTGTACAAGCTTTCTATTTTATCCACATCCTCACCCACACATTATTTTCTGTTCTGTTTATAATAACCATCCTAATGGATGTGAATTAGCATGGCACTGTAGTTTTCATTGCATTTCCCAGATGACCAGTTATATGCATAATATCGTGTGCTTAATGGCCATTAGTATATCCACCATAATAAATGTCCATTTCAAGTCTTTTGCCTTAAGTATGAATTTCAAATAAACAATGAATTACGTTGGCTTATAGATCTCATACAATATTGAGAATGTATATGTGTTAAGAACAATCTCTTGTTTATCTGAAACTCAATTTTAACTGGGTGTCCTGTGCTTTTATTTGATAAGTCTAGCAACGTCAGAAAATGAGAACTCGATGGTTCTTAAAGCAATCTTTAAATATTTTACATTTGGGCTAAGGTGAGCTCTGAAAGAGTTTAGGGTAGTTTTTGTGGGTGTTTGGCTGGTAGCCTTGCTTTATTAAAAAATTGTAATTTCATTTTGAGGTCTTCCAGACTAAATCATTTGAGCTTCACACTCTTCGTATAACATTATTGGACTCCTTTAATGAAATTATAACTCAAGCAAGATATTTCATTCTCTTGTAGTAAATTAGCTATGGCTGGGAGAGTTCAGGGAGAGCAAATCCTTCCCTAGGTTTATTCTTCTTGTTTGGTAGAATGAAGAAGGAGCAGGCATTTTATATTTGAGTTATTTATTGTTCTCTTTGTGTGAACATTATATTGTTGCCTGTCCCTACTGGAAACAACAGCTGTTAACAGGCTCCTGAATGAATTTCAATGTGAATTGAGTTGGCCTCTGGAAAGCTGGGCTAAAGAGAAAACACGCTCAGCCTCAGAAGAAAAAGAGCAAGTTTCAGGCTGGGTCTGGATGCCTGAAGGCTAAGGACATATAAAACCACTAGCAAGCATTTTCATGAGAAATCACACTTAGAACAAGGTATACAGTGCCAAAATATAAACAGTGCAAAGCAGCTAAGTTCTCAACAGCCAATGCCCTTGGCAATTTAAAACACAGGAGCCAGGTGTGGTGGTGCATAGCTGTAACCCAGAATTCTGGGAGGCTGAGGCAGGAAGATCACAAGTTTGAGCTCAGCATGGGCAACTTACAGACTTAGCAAGACCCTGTCTCAGAATAAAACAAAAGGGGGAAAAAAGGCTGCAGCTGTAACTCAATGTGAAGTCCCTGGGTTCAATCCCCAGTCCTGAAAAAACAAATAACGACAAAGAAACAGAAAATGAGCATTGATTCTATTGTAAGTCAGTACCACACTGGATAGGTAATGGTACCATTTCCATCTACAACCTTTTAGTAAATGTTCTGAAGATTCACACTGAAACACTGAGAATCATGCAGACTTGACAGGGATCAGTGTGCAGATGAGAGTCCTGGAACACAGGGGGCTCCGGGCTCAGTGCCTTGGGTAGGTTCTCTATTAGGGAAATAAGTTTCAAAAAGACTTCCAACTTCCGCCATTTAATGTAATCACAAAAATCTTTACCACAAAGAACTTTAAATTTGGCTTGCTTCCTTGGTCTTTTTTTTTTCCTCACAATAGTTCCTGCAACTATCTCTGTTTAAGGAGAAACTGAGGTCACAGGGGAAAACAATGCATTGGTCACATGTAGCATTTCCCACTTTGGTCCATTTTCCCAACTATTTTCCCACCTGAGCTCAGTGGCCAGTACCCAGAATACTCTGGCATCCTCACCTTTGTTTCTCTGGTGGCCAGAGGGCAGTCCTTGGAACCCATCCACAGTGTCTGTTTCACTTGCCCACTTCTGAGAAGTACTATTCAGACCCTCTGTACCATGCTGGCCTTACTCCCTTCTTTCCTCTCAAACTTCTGCTCAAACACTGCTAATTGACATAGCTACCATTTTGATAAGCTCCCTTTTTCTTTCATGCATTTCAAGCCCGCAAAGCAAATTCTCCACCAATGAGGACAAAAGTTTTGGCTTTATTTTCACAATGTTCTGTTAACTATGGAATTGTTTTACTTCTGTTACCTCTATGACATGACCTTGATATGGTAGTTCAGGCCCACCCCTCTGGTTAGCAGATGCATGGTTGCTACCCTGAAGACAATTACATAGACTTTGGGGGGGCATGGAACCAGAGCAGGAAAGATACCAAAACTAACAGAAGAAAGGTGGAAATCATAAAGTTTAAAATTGAATGGAGAGGAATTTGATAAAAGGCTGTCAGAAATTCAATAAAAGACTGAGCCAGAATGAAGTGTCTAAAAGCAAAATGACCTTTCCACCTCCCCTGTCCAACCCCTCAGTAATAAGAACATATGAGAGCATTGAGTTTTGCTGAAACTCCATGTCAAAAGCACATTTCCTGTTCTTTTCTTTCCAGACAAAGTCAGCATACTGTCAACCTTCCTGGCTCCCTTCAAGTACCTAAGTCCTGGCACCACAAACACGGAGGATGAAGACAATCTCAGTAAGCAGCTCACTTTCCCCAAAGTATGGAGAGGTCCCCACTGGATATAGGAGGTGTCTGCCACTGTTCCCAAAGGTTGAGGCCTGGGGGCCCTGGGGAGAGCCTGTATGTTCTTCTCTGAAGCAGGAGATTCGAGGAAATCCATCCTTTTCTGCAGTCCTCCTCTTATGCAGTCCCATATTCACCTGGCATCCCGTTCTTACCTGAGCACCATTGTCATCTGAAATCTCATCTGTGCCCAGAGTCCTACCCTCTCTTGCAGTCCTATACTCTGAGCAACACCAAACTCAGGGTCCCATCCTCACTTAGAATACACCTTCACTTTTCAGTACCACTTTCACTTGGAATCCACCCTCACCTGAACTTCCATCTTTATCCAGATGGCCAGCCCCATCTGCAGTCCATCCTTAACTGGAGACCCATCTTCTCATGAAGTCTTGTTCATACCTGGAATCCATTTGAGTTTCACCTGCAGTTCCTCCCTTACCTGGAATCCCATCCTCAACTGCAGCCCCACATTTACCTAAAATCCTTGCCTTCAGGTTTATCTTCACTTGGAATCTCATGCCCTCCTGAAGCCTCATATTTCACCAGGAATCCCACCCTCAACTGGATTCCAACCTGGAATTTCATCCTTACCTGAAATTCCATCCATCCTTTCCTTAGGGCCAAGAAAACATTATTAATGTCTGTATGACTGAGAACTCCAGGGATTATAGAAAATAAACCAGATGTCTCAGACCATCCACTCCTCCCTTTCCTTAGTTATTCCCTTCAAACAAAAACATAGAGAAAAAAAGAAAAATGATTGTAGTATCTTAGAACGTGGTTTATACAATTGTTTAACAAGGAAAGGGCTGGACTGAAGTTTCCCTTTCAGAATATTTCTGGGGTATGAAACTGGAGAGAAGTTAAAGGAACATCATGATACACAATTTTAAACAAAACTGGTTTAAGGAAGAGATTTGAGCAAGCATTTCTGTTTAGATCAATAAAAAGAATTCAGAGCAGATACTGCTGGTGAATACATGAGAGACGAAGGGAGGGATGGAAGGGGGGGGAGAGAGAGAGAGGGCGAGAGAGAGAGAGAGAGAGAGAGAGAGAGAAAGAGACAGAGAACGATCTCCTGGGAATATTTGTCCTGCACTATAGTCTCCTTTTTCTTGTGGCACACACCAAGTATTTAAAAGGGGGAAAAAACATTCCAAGTCATATGAACACCACTTTGCATTTTAATATCACCTAACAGATGGGCCCCTTTTTCAACTAGAATAAGCTAAGAACGTGCTTGTTGTCATGGGGCAGGGAGGAAGCAAGGTATTTATTGAGGGTTGCTAACTCTGCTGATCTTGTTGGGTGGACCAAAAATAAACAGTGGCAGAGATTTCTACAGGAACGTTGTCCATTTTGCCACCAGCTTCCAAGAGTCACAAAACATCAACATGGACAACACTTCTCCAAACAATAAGTTTATTAATACTATTGGAAACTGAGGTTAGTTCCCTGGATTGCTCTACTAAAGCCAAGTAATAGAGACATCTAAAGCCAGAACCCAAGCAAATATTTGTGATCCTTTTCCTGGATCCTTTCATTTTCTAGAGGAAAGAGTGAAGGGATGGCAAAAAGGAGGAGCCTACTGGAACCAGATGGGGGGTTTGTTTGGTTGGTTGGTCAGCCGGTTGGTCTGTCGGTTAGTTTTTGGTAATGCTAGGAATGGAACCCAGAGCTTTGTACCTCCTAGGCAAGTGCTTTGCCACTGATATATCCTAAGCCCAAGACAAAGGCTCCTGGCTCTGACTTCAGGGCTCCTTCCTCGTCAAGACTTGTGGGTTGAAGCAAAACCCTGATAAATTATTGTCCCTATTCTTTCATGAGTTAAATTTGAAAATTTCCCAGATCAGTCAAGTTATTGATAGTTACTTCAGAAATTTTGAGGGGAGAGAGAAAGAGAGAGAGGGAGAGAGAGAGAGAGAGAGAGAGAGAGAGAGAGAGAGAGAGAGAGAGAGACATGTACAGAATTTGACAAGTGGACAAAGCTGTCAGGGAAGATACATGGAAGGAACTCTAACTCTGATTCCTCTTTCCCAACTGGAGTAGTTGAAATCCTGGCTGAATCTCGTCTCTCTCTGAAGAAAAAGAAATAAAAGAGAAAGACACAGAGAATTCAGGAGGAATAAAACAAAGTATTTTTTCACTTACCGAAAATGCATTAGCTACCTTTCTATAACAAGCAGAGGCCCAAAATCATGAGAAATACACTGTCTGTGCATGTGAAAAGTTACTGCGCTGTCCTGAGGGTGATGAGAGAGTCACACCCCTTGAGGGACTTTCTGTCCCTTCCCCTTGGACAGCATATGGACCGGCACAGTTCGTCAGAACACTTGTGTGGTGTCAAGGCTGTCTGCATGCTCACTCACCCTTGGATCTGCTGACCACCCAAATTTCATTACAAACCCCTCTCAGAGCTCCCTGCCTTGTTTGTAAGACAGGGAGAGTTGAAAGCCTAAATCAGGGAGTGAGGAAAAGCCAGGACCTAGAATAAGAAAAGCACCATCAAGGTTGGCTAATACATGCACGTAACTAATGTAATACATGTACGTAATTAAAGCTATTTTCCCCTAATTTGGTTAACTGATTAATGGATAGAAACTTACAGAGAAAAATAACTTTTAATTATTTATTTTATGTTAAAATTCTTTGAAATGTTTAGGAAACTTCATTTGCCATCGATGGATTAATTTTACCCCTTTGAATAGATACTGTTAATTTACTTAGAAAACTCAATTTTCACAGATTATTCGAAGACAAACCTCCAAACTAATTTGGACCTGCTAGACAGTTCCTGTCAAGTATTGCTAATGAGATCTGACCAATGTGCTACCAAATGACACTGGAAAGTGAGAGAAGAGCCATGTGTGTGTGTGTGTTTGTGTGTGTGTGTGTGTATGATGTATGTTGGATGTGTATGTGTAATAAGAGTTTGGTGTGTGTGTCTGTGGCATGTGTTTAATGTATGTATGTGTGTATGTTTGTGTGATATGTATGTAAATGTGTGATGGGTGCTGTGTATGTGGTTGTGTAGAGTGTATATGCACATGTGTGAGTACGTGGTGTACATAATATGTGTGTATTAGGTATGTGGGGGATGTCTATGTGGTGTGTGTATGGTTTGTGTGGTAAGTGTATTTGTTCATGTTTGTGTGATGTGTATGTGAATATATGGTGTGTAGTATCTGTGCATGTGTGTGTGGTATGTGTGAATGTGTACTGTGCGGTATCTGTGCATCTGTGTGTGGTGTGTGTGTGCATGTATATGAATGTGTAGTATCTGTACATATGTGTGGTACATGTGTGCTGTGCATGCATATCCACACTGGTATGTGTAGGAGCAAGAGCAGGTGGAAGCATTGCACACAAGCCTGCGCTGCAGTCTCATGCCCCACCCTTCTTCATGACAGAGTTGGGTTGCCCGGGCTATAGTATCATGGAGACAGTTCATATCCAGCTCATAGATTCCACCATGTGGGAATTGCCCATGCTTCCCTGTGGCTTCCTGATCCCCAGCCCTGGTACACATCACTGCTTTTGCCTGCAGCCATGAGGGCCTTGGTTTAAAGGCCCTAGGCTGGGTTTCAGAAAGAGGTAACCAAGATACACACACACGCATGCTCGGTATCCAATTTCCACCTGGAAGGCAGTCATCAGCAGGCTGTGCTTTGGCTCAGAGACGCCCATACAAATGTGATTTTAAGACTCACCTGCATTCACCCTGTATTTCTGAAAGTTTCTTCTTCCAACCCTGAAAAGTGATGAGTCTCCCTATACTTGGCTGTATATACATCGGTGTACCAATGCCCAGATGTTGGGATTTGACCCAGATCCCAGGAAGACTGGGCTTTTAGGTTGCAAAGCGCACACCTGTGCTTTCAGGGCTTTGGTAGAAGAAGTCTCCTGCCTGCCATTTCTGCTTGTTCCTAAGTCCTGTACACACACAGCCCACCCTCATGGGATCACACGTGACAAGCACTATCCTACCAGCAATTTCCAGAACAATGCGTCCTCCTGAAACCCCAGCCCAAGGTCTCCTGCCCTGCACATAGCAAATGAGTTTCCTTCTGCTGCTCTGTGCACTGTGCACCCTTCCTCTTGTGTAAATGGAAGATCCAGGCCTCTGCCATTCTCCTCCCACTAGACCCTGCCTTACAGAGGAAGGGTTGCTCTTTTTTGAAAACTGGGTTCATTTGGCAGCAGAATAACCTTCACCAGGAACAATATTATCTCTTCAAATGTAGCGTGGCGCATTGGATGGGTGGTTCTCTGGAGCCCTCCTGACCCGCAGACACAGTACTATCATTATTAGTGATACATATGATCCCAATGATGCCAACCCAGGAGCGGAAGCCGGGTGTGCATAATGACCAGGCAGAGGACACCAGCCCACATGGGAGCCAGTGGATGGAAGAATAAATCCACAAGCAAGCATGGCCTTCTGCACATGCATCAGATGGATGATAGCAATGAGACCCCATCCAAAGACCCCCCAACCCCACCTGGTGCCTCCATTTTTGAATGACAGAAGCCCAGATCATCAAACTTAATAAGTCCCAAAGAATATATTTTACTTGGAAAATAAAAGTTTAGCCACAGCTATGACAATATAAAATGTCACTCTTTCTCCCCAAAATGCAATTCTTTTATGCATTAAACCTTTAAACTTAGCATTACATTTGCTGACACTTTTGTCAAATGAGATAATGTACTTATGAGGCTCAGGGGACCAGTCCATGTGTGAGAGAAGCAGAATGGAAATAATTTCACTTCACATTTTCCCATATAGATGCCTCCCTCACTTAGACATTTTCTTTCAGTGCCTGGCAGTTTTCAAATTGCTCGTGATTGTTCTATTACTGCTGCTGGTGGTATTTATCTAATGTAGTTTGAAGTTATTTGCCTGCTTTTTTTTTCTAATTTCCACAATGAATAGACACATGCCACTCTCA